TTTGGGTTCAACTCGAAGTATGCTATACCATAAATAGTTTTGCTTAATAAAAAGTTTAACAAAATTGTTAAAATAAAATATACGTATACGTAGCTCTGAAGATACTTAAAATATATAGTACTGTATTACATATTTTTACATTCACAATATATTGCTAAATATTTTTATTTAGAAAGTTAAATTAATAAATTTAAGCAATTTTAATTTATTTATTGAAAGTGTCCAAACTCATGTTTACGTTTTATAACACTATACCTAAAAGGTACTGTACTTTACGTAGTAAACTTGTATTAAATAAAACGTATATAACAGGTTTTTCAAAAAATTTGTTTTCATTAAATCTATATCGATATGCCTGCTGTACCGAATTGATTTTATGCAAAGACCGGAGGATCTAATACTGTTTAGCCACCTACCTTGATACACATTTTCCGGATGCGTTTTTACCTTAGGTGGTGCAAACATTTGCGTTGTGTCATTAAAAAAATGCATTTTCTTCCTTCCTTTAATAGTCATCTAATGTTTATTTTTTGCGATATAGTTGCACCAACCAGTTTTGCCTTATGATAACTTATCTAATCAATAGGACGGAAGTCTCAACTTTGACTTTTCAACGGTTAATTAATTCAAACATAGAAAACTCAATTTTCGGGAGTGTATAATGTCTGTTTCGGATCCGTCGCCAGAGTCATTTAGTGAACAAAGCAATGGAAATGAAGATATCGAGGAGTAAGTTTAACTCTGATCAAAAAAACTGTTTCTGTATAAGCATCAAAATGATTTGTTTATAAACGTGTCCAGGGGATTAAATACTGAATTTTCAACACCTTTACAAGTTGGACAACCTGAAACTTCACCAAATATATCACCTAAGGCTACAGTGGTTAGTGAAAGGTTAGATTATCTGTCGAGCTTGAGAGGCAACTGATTTCGAATTATCTTTTCTTGTAGGCATTCTCTATACTTTGTGATCTATTAGATGAATGTACATTAGACGTAATATTTGAAGCGCATCGAGAAGCAAAATTGTCATCATCCATTTGCCAAATATGCAATACTGAGTGAGTCGATAACTATCACAATCATTTTATTCAATCATTGTTATTTCTATTAATACTCATACTGTCACTGCTAATAATATGTAGGTGTCGCTCTTTTGGTATGTAATAAAATGTAAAAACATCACTTTCACACATATACTACTTTCGCTGATCGTGCATCTTTGTTCAAGTGGTTCAACCGGGGATGGATATTTTTGGCAATCATCCTCAACTGAATAACCCTCCAACTTTTGAATGTGTAAACTGCCAACGTCCTTATCCATCAAAAAGATATGCACCACATCTTGAAAAATGTATGGGTCTGGCGGGTAGAAGTTCAAGTCGGGTTGCAAATCTAAGGTATCATATAACAACACTCATTCGATTGACTATAGGTTATTTTAGAAGCTTATTAAAGGATACGATTATTAAATTAATTTTAGGTTAAGCAGCGAAGGGAATCCTTCGTCACCGTACACTCCCGTTTACTCTGAAGACAACGCAAATCAAAGTGATTCTGATGATGATTTATATGTCGAAAAAAAACGTAAGTTCGTCACTTACCCTATTTTTGAATAAGCAAAAGCAGATCAATTTATTTTTTCATGATATTATACTCAAATGTCTGTTTTATTTTAGGCAAGAAATCAAATGGGAAATCGAGGGTAAGCATATAATAAATATTTGTTATATGTTACATATAAACTTTTTAAATTTTCAAGAATTAAATTTTTAAGAAATGTAATTGCTAAATATGTAGGCATCATCGCCGGCCAAATTTTCCAAGCTAAGAAGACAAAAGTCGTCTTGCAAGTATTACAAGTATTACATAAATGTCAGATATTTATTCAATGTATAACGATAATAATTTTATATCTATTATTGCAGTGTCGGACACGGTTGAAGCTCCGAACTTTGTCTCATCGATTGTGGCAAAGGTATTTGATAATTAAGGGCTTATTATCTTTCATCACTAAATATTTACTCTAATCATTTACTTTTCGCCTTTTACACAGTTGAAGTGTAAATATGAAATAGAGGTGATAATTTAGGCTATCTCAATAATTATATTAAGTTCACTTTATTTCAGTGATACCAGGAGAAGCTTCAAGATCACAAAGCCCTGCACCTTCTT